GACCAAAATTCTGAAAATGTGATGAAGTTGAGGTTCATGTGTGTTGGGCTTCTGACACAGATGACACCTGTGTTTACATATTGAATAAGTGTAGTTTCTACTATGGGTTAGTAGATAGTCCTGTCTTCTATTTTCATACTAAAAATAGTTTGGCTGTAAGCAAATACTTGCTGGTAATGTGATTCTTGATGTAGCCAGTCATTCCAATAAACCTCTTGCCAATCTATTTCTCTTCCTTCTTAGCTAATTCACTCTGAAACAGCAGCACTGCAACTTGGGAAAGCTGCAGTGTAAAGGCAGTATCAGGTTCTATAGATGTCCAATGTTCTTTTGAAATGATAATTTCCTTAACAAAAAAAAAGCAAAGCAAAAGCGGTTTACATAGAGGTATATACAAGAGTCAAATTAATTTGATTTTTTTTTATCGGTCTTGTAGAGGAAAGAAGGCAGGCCAGATCCATATTTGCAAACTAATAGAGTGCCCTCAGCAGCTGCTTCCACCAAGGCTGGTTAAAAAATCAGGTAGGACTAGTCCTTTGAAAGGAAAAGTAAGCCAATGTTCACACACCCACACCCCTTCCCAAGGTTGCACACTCAAGTCTTTGTTCCGGATACTGTGGGCCTGGCACATGTTCCCGGTCGCAGGTCAGAGGTCAACCTCCAGGGTGTTTCCAAAGCCCGCCACTTCAAGAGCTTGAGCCTTCAACACTTATCCAAACTGATTAACTACATGATCAACAGTAGCCAAGGAAATGAAACGGGCTTCACCTTTCTCGCCACTGGGAAGGAAGGGCCAGACCCCAAAGGAGGACTGGGTTGAAAGAGTGTATGTATTGGGAGGAGGAGGGGTCCTGTCGTTGTTTTAGAGGAATCCTACTTCGTTGTCTTAAAGGCTCAGCGCTCCCTTCAGGAAAACGCCTTAAGTGGGAGATTGGGTTGTGAAAGGCCGCTAGACCTTTCCCCGCAGATCGGGTTAAGTCCCTCTTCCCTGCGCAGAACGGGGGAAGACGGCACTGAGTCTCCCAAGGCCAAGACCCGCGCTGACCAAATCAGTGTCAGTCTCTTGCTGCTTCCGAGGCAGCGTTTCCAACTCGAGACACCGACTTAAGAAAACCCGCGTTTTCTGTAAGGAAGCGCAAGGGAGGGGGGGGGGTTTCCAGAGTTAGGAACCGGCTTTTCGGCTTTCTTTCCGTGCCCCCGCCGCTCTAGCACAACCGCCTGGTTTATTGTCTGCTATCCTATTAAGAGGCGTCTTTTGGAGATCAGCAGCAGACGCGCTCACTCCCGCGGCAGGGCAGCGTGAGAAAAGCCTTGCTCAAAAAGTCCTGATCATCTGGCCGGAGGGCGGGGGGATATCATTCCAACGTCCCACTCCGCCTTTAGCTGTAGGGATCTGGATAGCTTACCTGCAGAACAGTCTCCAGTAAAGGAACTAGTGCTAAACCCATAATCCACGTGCCCGAGAAAGGTCAAGACTAGTTGGGTGCATCTCTCCCTCCCCTCCTCTCTTTCTCGTATGTGTGTGTTTGTGTGTGTGTGTGTTAGTGTGCGTGTAACAGAGAGAGGAAGAGGAGCTTCCTAAACTCAGGTGTTCCCACGCAGACACTTTGAAAAGTGGGGGGGAAATCGCTCCCATTCCACCCCCAGTTTGGTCTGCCAGAAGCTGATTGGAATCCGCGTTTCCCAATTTCCCCCATCTCCCCTTCTTCCCCCTCCATCTTAATCACTTACCCCACTCCACCTGTTGAAAGCGAGATCCCGTCATTTCTGTTCTACCAAGCCCGGACTGACCACAAATAAGAGAATCTAATAATAACAGCGGAAAAAAAACAGGGAGATGGGGGGTAGAGGCTGGGGCGGGGAGAGAATTAGGTCGGTGGGCAGCGGGTGGATCAAACCAGAAGTCCTCTTGGGTGCTTCGTCGGAAAGTTCACCCTTCGTTTCTTCTTTTCTTGCTTTCTGAAAATAGTTGGGAAATGCATGATGAAATAGAAATAAAACGTCGGGACGGTATTTTAATGGCTTATATGTCACGTTGGTGCATGTGGCTTTGAACTGGAGCAGCTCTGGTTTCCTGCAGAGAACATGCCACAAATCCCACTTTTGATCACTTCTACAACCCACAATGCTTGCACACATACAGCGCGCACACGCACACAGGCACAAATGGAGTTTCTAGCTCAGCTGCCTTCCCGCTCACCCCCCCCCCCAAACCTGGAGAAATAAACAAGCGAAGAAACAAAGCAATCAGGCCGTCATTTTTAGGCGGCACTCTTTCTTGAAGGTAAAGTCTTGGAGTGGGTTTTAAGTGGATGCCCTGAGTTCCGGACTCTCTTGGTCTCCCTTCTGCTAGCTGCAAAGGTGCGCAGGTTTCTCCCGAGGACAAAATATTCCCCAGATTTTCCTCTTGTTGGTCGCCCTGGAATTAACCATGCTAAGTACAGTCACCTTTCACCTTTCAGGCCAAATCTAATACTTTCAGGGGAGACACATTTCTCACCCAGATGAGATGCTTGAAACCTGTTGCTGAAGGCCTTGCTTTAGGGGTTTGGTTTGCAAAACTCCTTTTCACCCAAATATCAGCGCTAAGAAGGGAGAGAAAACCCGGGAAAACCTACAGACCAGAGTGCTCAGAAAAATCTTCCCTTCTCTTGTTTTGAATCGGCAAGAATATCTGGCGTGCAGCATTCATGTGCATTACATACCATAGCAAAAGGTTTCTAAAAAAATCTGTTTGCCATGCGGTCCCCTTGCCATTCTTTAAACATTGAATATTATATCACGCACCTAGACCTGCCAGGGGAATTGCTTCATCGCGCCTAACAGGCAATTGGAAGGATGCATTTTTGTGGGAAAGCTCCCATTGGTTCAACAAACCTGAAAGATTCTGAGTTTTAGCTGGTTTTTTAAAAAAACAACCCACCCTCAAGTCTAAATTTCTGGATATTGGGGGAAAATAGGTCCAAATTAAAAACAAAACAGGTTCTCAACTAATGCCGGTTTTTTTTTTAAAAGTACGTTTTGGAAAACTGCAAGGAAGAAAATCTAGAAGTTGCATTCTTAAATCATTGAGCCACAAAGGTTGTTTTTAAGGACCATACTTCTCCATCTCGACAATCATTTTAATATATAGTCAATGGCTCTTTGTAACAGGGACAAAGGCGAACTATTCGCAGTTCTTCAATAGACTTTAGTTGGGGAAAAGGCAGGTTAATCGAGGGGTTGCATCTAGAAAACAAGCAAGTGTTGTATGTTTGCACTGAATCCAAATGTCTGCATTTTCCTAACTAAATCAAAGGGAGTGTTATTTCTTTTTCTGCTCACTCATCTGAAGGTAAGTAAATTTTCTCTGGCGATCACAAGCTTGGTCAGCAACAAAGGCGCCGCCTGCTTTTTCCACCGTCCTGGTGTGGCAAGTTGAGGAATTTCAATAAATGTGACAAGGGTGACTGATTTGTGAACTAGAAACGGTTGAGCGTCAGAAAATTTATACTGCTCCTATCTAGAGAGGATTTCAAATGCATTATAAAACCCCAGGATCCAAGAACTTCATGCAACATAGAAGAGACAAAAGCAACTTTGGGAAAATTTACAGGTTTTTTTTTTTTAATCTTGAATTAAAGAGTTGAGCTTTTTAAAAAAAGTAGAAAGGAGAGGGAAAACACACAAAGTAAGTCTGAAAAAGGAGATAACACAAGCACTACACAAAATAGCCAAAGCAAAAAACAAAAGCAAATTGAAGTGCTCTCACCCACCTGCCTTTTGATGGGTGCTACATATTTTTTTTCGGAGGGGGGGGGGAAATCAAACGTATCGTTGCCATTTTCCCACTGATATTAGACTTGTTTTAAAACAAGATCTAAACAAGTCAGCACAAACTGTTTAAGAGAGAGCCTTAGAGGTGTAAAAAAAAAAAAGGAAACGCAAGTGGGAAAGGAACAGATCACAAAAGGATTTTCATGGTCAAGCCCCTTAAAAAGTTGTTGAGTGTTGTTCAAAGGTCTTGAGCGCCAACCCATGAGCACCTTGGAAAGAAAAAAAAGTAAAACGTAGCACAGAAGGAACATCTACATCTCCAGAACAAACCTGGGGAAAAGCTTTGGAAATATTTTCCAACATAAAAATAATATATTTTATATGTTTTGTGGTATAAAAAGTTGCTACTCCTGTACGAGCTGTTTGTTAAACGCGATGTCACTCGGCTTCACAATACCTGGGATTGATGAGAGGAGAGAACCAATCAGGAGAGAGCAGAGGTTTTGTGCACCCTTAATTGGAGAGGAAGGAGGGAGTTGCAAGTGAAAGTAGGAATGGCGAGGCACCAATGAACTGCGACGTCGTTCTCCACGTAGCTCCTCCCCTTCTCCCATTCATGGGGGAGGGGGGGACGGTGTCGTCTTTTCAATTCATTTATCTGCAGGAATGATTGCCGCTATCAGTCTCGCGTTCACCGCCCGGCTGAGGAGGTGAAAGTTTCTCCCCAGGAAGATAAACCGCAAAAGACAATATTGTGCATGATTTGCGCCGTTTTTTTTTTAAACAAAGCAGGGGGAAAAAGGAAAAGCGAAGGGGGGAAAAAGCCAAAGGAGGGGGAAAAAAGAGACGAGGGGGGGCAGAGAGTGAAAAGAACTGGAAGAGAATTGAAAATTGTTCGCTACTTCTCTACATTCCTCTAGCTTCTGTTTTTTTAAAAATCCAGAAAAGGAAAGAACTAAAGGAAGTTTCGTTTTTGTTTTGATTTTTTTTTTCCGAGCCAGACTCTGCTTCCTCCTCTCTTTTGGCTATTGTTATTTGAGAGCGGGATCTCTTGAATTCGCTCCCTCCTCCCCGCGAAGACCCCCGAAAAAGTGCAGTCCGAGAGGCAGGAGGAGGAGGAGGGGGGAGGCGCAATCGGTTTTGCCTGTGCGCGCGCCGAGGTCTTTTTTTACTCTTCTTCTTTTATTTTCGCAGCTTCTCGACTGCTTCCTCGGCGCTCCCCCCAGCTTTCTCTCTCCCCCCCCTTGCACCCGACCCTTTCGCCCACCCTCTCCTTTTGCTGTGTGTGTGAGTGTGTGTTTTTGGTGCGCGGATGCCGAAAGGGGAGTTCCTGATGCGGTCGCTTTAGTGGCTGATCGTCGCGCGGACTTTGGCAAGAGAAAGGCACGGCGAAGCTGGTTGGATTGGCGGCGGCGGCAACGGCGGCGGCAGCGGCTCTTCCTTCCCGTTTTTCCTGCCGTTTGTTGGCGGTTGCTTCCTTCTTATCTTCCCCGCCCTCCCTGCCCCCGATAAATCACTTTTGTTTCGGCGGTTGCAGCCGCAGCTGCCCGCAAAGCGGGGGAAAATGCTTCTGGATGCTGGACCTCAGTACCCAGCCATCGGCGTGACGACCTTCGGCTCCTCTCGCCACCACTCCACGGGCGATGTGACGGAGCGTGAGGTGGGACTGGGCATCAACCCCTTCGCCGACGCCGGCATGGGCGCCTTCAAGCTCAACCCCAGCAGCCACGAGCTGGCCTCGGCCGGCCAAACCGCCTTCACTTCGCAGGCCCCGGGCTACGCGGCGGCGGCGGCGCTGGGACACCACCACCACCACCCGGGCCACGTCGGCTCCTACTCCAGCGCGGCCGCCTTTAATTCCACGCGGGACTTTCTTTTTCGCAACCGGGGCTTCGGCGAAGCGGCGGCGGCGGCCAGCGCGCAACACAGCCTCTTCGCCTCGGCGGCCGGCAGCTTCGGAGGGCCCCACGGGCATGGCGAAGCGGCGGGGCATCTCCTCTTCCCGGGCCTCCACGAGCAAGCCACGAGCCACGCTTCGCCCAATGTGGTCAACGGGCAGATGCGCCTCGGTTTCTCCGGAGACATGTATGGCCGGCCGGAGCAGTATGGGCAGGTGACCAGCCCGCGCTCCGAGCATTATGCATCCCCCCAACTGCACGGCTACGGCCACATGAATATGAACATGGCAGCCCATCACGGAGCGGGGGCCTTCTTTCGTTACATGAGGCAGCCCATCAAGCAGGAGCTCATCTGCAAGTGGATCGAACCCGAGCAGTTGGCTAACCCCAAAAAGTCCTGCAACAAAACTTTCAGCACCATGCACGAGCTGGTGACTCACGTCACCGTGGAGCACGTTGGCGGGCCCGAGCAATCCAACCACATCTGCTTCTGGGAAGAGTGTCCCAGGGAAGGGAAGCCTTTCAAGGCCAAATATAAACTGGTCAACCACATCCGCGTCCACACGGGGGAGAAGCCTTTCCCTTGTCCTTTCCCGGGATGCGGCAAAGTCTTCGCTCGGTCGGAAAATCTCAAAATCCACAAAAGGACGCATACAGGTCAGTATAGGTTGGTCTTGCTCCATTACTGTTGAGTCCAGAGATCTGCTGATGCGCGTGAACTTCTTCCTCCTTATCCGCCTCTTCCTCCCCCTCCCCTCTCCTCTAGTTTCCCTCTAATTATATTGAGAATTAATTAAAGCTACAGTAGTTCAGTAAACCCCGTAGAAGAGTTGGTTTAGATTTTTTGCTTTTCTTCTGCAGCATTTGCATGTGTGTGTCTGTGTATATGTCTGTGAAGAAAGAAAGGAAGGAAGAAAGAAAGAGGGAGGGAGGGAGGGAGGGAGGGAAGGAAGGAAGGAAGGAAGGAAGGAAGGAAGGAAGGAAGGAAGGAAGGA